CACAGGATTTGATATGACATACAATAGTCATCATCAGTGGCGGGGGACAAAGTAGGGATGGTAGCGTTTTGACATCAGTGTATGTAAGATGACTTAAGGAGTGCAGGCAAGCTGGAAGAAAGGGCATGGGAGATCAGGGAGACAAGAAGGATCACGGGTCTTGCTAGGTAGCAACGGTTAAAGGGCAACGTCTCCTGACATTGTGAGGGAAGAAATCGAGACAGGTGTGTGTAATATGGAAAACGAAGTAGAGAGCGGCTCCCACATTGCAGGCCTAGGGTTCTGAAGCAGGGAAACCTCCATGGTCTGCTGCTGGGGCGGGGAGTGAGGGGGTGGAGGGGCGGGGAGGAGGTGCCATGAGCGCAGTCTTAGTAAATGTGGCCCCAGTGCACAGTAACTGACACTTTGCAAGAGCTTGGCAAATGTTTAATGAAGAAACGAACATGCGGACTTGGAGCAGTCATGGACGCTGAGTCCAAAGGAAACATTCTCTGGAGGCTGGAATACAAACTGGGGGGTGGAGATTGATATTGCCCCACCCCGCGCCCCACTCCAGCACCCACTGGGCACAGCAAGAAAAAATGAGGACATTGAAGGAGCAATCAGAGAGGTAGGAAAACAAAGACAGTATTTCAACTCTTGGAATTTGGAAAAGTTTGGTGGCATCATCAAGTGCCACAGAAATCACTTTGTGGTCACTGGTAGGTGTTTGGAGAGCCGGGCACGAGGACACCAAGTTTACTGATCTGTTGGCCGGGGAGGTTAGCAGCGTGTGGCAATGGAATGCATCAGGAAGTGTCTGTCCAGGGCCAACAGTGGGACCCACCCTGCAAGCTCAGGCTCCGACCCAGCCTGGAAGAATGAGCCAGCTGAGCGGTGGACCTGAGATCAGAGGAGACTGGGAGTTAACTGGGGTTTTGGAAACCAAGAGAAAGTTTAAATATCCTTTGAAAGAACGTCCTCTCGATTTGCATAGACTTAAGGGCTGTGTTTGAATTACAGTGGGGCCTTGACTTACGAGTGTCCCGACTAACAAGTTTTTCGAGATATGAGCCGTCTCTCGGCCGATTTTTTGCTTTGAGTTGCGAGCTAAAATTCGGGTTACGAGCCAGCTTCAGATACCCCACCGCTAGTTGGCGCAGAGAACGTCACAGTGAATGCCACAACATCAGCCCAGCATCACGTGTCTCACTCGTTCACTTTTTGATTTGACATACGAGTAATTTGAGTTACGAGCTCCGTCACGGAACAAATTAAACTCATAAGTCAAGGTCTCACTGTACTTTTAAAGTGAAAAAGTCAACATGTGCTGCCATTAAACAATTAAGAAAAGGATAGCCAATGAGTTGCAAGCTATTGGGATGGACTGTTAAGCTTATCTCGGCATTATTTGATTTGATTTGATTTGGCTTTCATGAACAATCTATCGCACTCCCACTGTGAGCGCTGGGGGTGGAGGTGGGGGTGCTGCCGTGCACAGCAGGGTTCACTGAGCCTGGCACTGTGTGGTGGGATAATCGAGCAGGTCTGAGGCAGGTGGGGTCCAGGACCGGGCTCTCCATCCTCTGAGTTTGCTGGGAGAACTGGGTCATCTTCTCCAGGCAGCTACCGAATGTCCGATGGGAGTGATCCGGGTCCTGCGAAGAGGCTGCAACATGCTGGGAAGAGTGGGCTTCGCCACATCGGGTAACTGTGTGACCAGCTCCTCTGCAAGGTCTGGCACAGAATGCGTGTAAGGTTCTCCGCTGGGTTTCAAGTAAAAACCAGAAGGCAGCTTGGGCTCCTGTGCAGAGTAGCGGAGTCCCAGCAAGGCAATCGGCCCATGTCTAAGGCTTCGAGGTGCTGGGCCGTGCAAGTTGTGTGGCATAAAGCACAGAGCTTCAGTCCTCCTTAAACTCATTGACTTACTGTAACGTTTGCAGCTTCCTAAGGGCTTGTTCTTTAATGGACCATGAGAATGAGCCATGGGTCCTGCTGGAATTCGTCTAGTAGCCTGGTTACAGCTCCTTCATGTGATAAAGGAGGGCTCCAGATTCTGGACCTGCACCCCTGGCAGCCCCACACAGCACGGATGTGGTGTTCTGCTCACTCAAAAGCTGCCCCAACTTTGTCAGAAGGAGCCGGCCGTGTGGAAGCACTGTGACAGTATGGTGCATAGAGCTCCTCCCATCCCAGGGCCCTGGCTATGCCAAGATACTGTTAAAATCCAAATTGCCAGAGAGCTTAGCAAGTAGATACCTTGCTCAGGTCTAAATGCATGTCTGTGGGTGGTACTGGTAGGGATGCAAGCAAGGTGTGTGTTCAATAAAACCCACAGGCTTCCTTTTTCTTATTCTGTGAAGGTCCTTTAAACTATCTGAAGGTCCGAGTGCCACTGGGTTTGTCAGAAAATCTTAAAATATGAAGAGGAGGGTTGGGTAGGGTTCTGGGGTCAAGGCCTTTTGTGATAAAGGCCTAGCAACAAACTCACCAATACGTGATCAGGTGACGTGCCACAAAGTGGATTGGTGGCCTGAGAACTTGAATTAGGCTAATTGAGAAAGGGAGGTGGAAGGATCTTTCAAACTAGTGACCATAGGAAGTCCTTGAAACTAACTCCTCACAGGTCCCTTAGAAAATTCACTGAAATGGAAAAGAATGTTCATTCCATATCTATAGACATTTCTGGAGAATACCACCACCATCGCCTCTGCTTCATCCTCTTAGTTTTCACTGCTATGGAAAATTTAGGATCTTGAAAATTCCTGGAACAAATAATCTGATTACATCTTTGGGGTTACAAAGTTTTTCTTAGACTATACACTAGGGCAGTGATGGCGAACCTTTTGAGCTCGGCATGTCAGCATTTTGAAAAACCCTAACTTAACTCTGGTGTCGTGTTGCATATAGAAATTTTTTGATATTTGAAACCATAGTAAAACAAAGGTTTATATTTTTGATATTTATTTTATATATTTAAATGCCATTTAACAAAGAAAAATCAACCAAAAAAATGAGTTTGTGTGTCACCTCTTACATGCGTGTCATAGGTTCGCCATCACTGCACTAGGGCAAAGAAGCTAACTTAAAGCATGCTATTTTGGAAGAACTTGTTAAATTCCTCCAGGAATGTTACAGGTGTGAGCTAAACTTATTGAAGGAGCTACGTCCTGCCAAGCTGTTCACTTTGGGATCGACTATGGGAGGAGCATGAGAGAAATTCCGGGGGAACCACTCCAGGAGGTGGGACAATTACCTTCGTAGAACATCAGGTGCATTTATTTTAAGAACTGCTTTTTCAGTCTTAGCCTTCAAGCTCTTTGGTGAACCCTCAATGTCAGGGATGGCTTTCTCCTACACATCTCACAATGCTGCACGTTATTCGCTGAATCATCAGTTATGCTGCTGGGCTGTGACACAGCTTCCCCAGAAATAAGCCTCCTCCCACCCCAAAATCTTGGGTGGATCATTGCTATTGCCCCATTAACACAAACATCAAAGTGAGTGATCCACCCGGAGAAGTCAAACCATGAATCATAGATACATACCAAAACTCAAAGTCTAGCAATCTGCATCCTCGATCAGCTCCCACTGTGTCTAGAATTATACTGGCAGAAAAGGAGTCTACATGAAACGAAAGGTTTTTGCTGTAAGAATTCTCTTCCTTAAACAACGATCCGCCTGATCTACTTTTCTTTGTATGTACCTAACAAACATAAACATGTCAAGAAGAAAAGTGACCAAGAAATGAGGCTGGTGTGAGAAGAAATCGCTGATTATGGAGGTTGTCAGATTCTCTGTGATACACAGGCCGGGGGCCACAGCCGCCACCTCTGCAGGGCCTTCGTCCGCAGCTGTTATTTGTGCTGTAGTGATTGTCGGGCCGTGGGGACCGCCCAGTGACCAGCAATCACTGGAATGAAGGGGTAGGGGGAAGGGAGGGGGCTGTGGAGCACAACCAAGGGTTACAAGCAGATTTCGGCACAAATAACAACTCCAACATAACCCTTTCAAGTAGAGCACCCGACTGAGACCAGCTTTCCAAACAAATGACTCATCAGAAGGAACTGGGGTGCTTGCTGGAGCGGACCAAAGGTTTATTCGGAATGACACAGCACTGAGAACGTTATCGTTACAGATGATCTGCGAATACAGCACACATCACCTAGCTTACTGTAGGACAATCTGTGAAGATGAGCCGCATAAATATAAGGAGGTGGGAATATAGAGGTGCTTCTTTGTAAGTGTTCTTTTGGGGTGGGTTTCTAGGCCGTCATCTAGCCAATCTCTTAAAGGCAGAAGTTAGGAAGTTCGCTGCTCATCCCCACCAGCCTGCCTCCAGCCACAGCAGCCGGACACGTAGAGAATCAGACTCTGCTTTCTCCAAAGGGACAGCACCCCGAAAAATGCACGTTACGAACACAGATACTGTCGACTGTTTTGGCAATGGGGTGGCTGGTGTTGTTCTGAGGCAAAACTGCAACTGCAACGCCAGACAGAACAAGAGCAATGCATGTATCAATGACACTGGAGAGGCAAAAGGGCTACAATGGAAAGGAAGCAACTATGCGTATGTCCTCTGGTGCATACACATAGATCCAGGAGTGATGGGAACTCGCTCGTGCACTGTGTCCATATATATGTATATATATATGTAGAGAGAGAGAGACAGAGGTGTATTGGAAAAAAAACACTGAAAACTTTTGCAGCACTTTCGTTTTAAACACAGTAAACTTGTAAGAGAGAGAGAGAGAGAGAGAGAGAGAGGAGCGTGCGCACATGGGCACACCTGCCCTAGGGGATGAAACAACCTGTACTACAGGATAATTCAGCACATCTTCTGCAGGGCAGCCACTCCATACCACACACTTGGTACCAAAAGGTAAGGTTCTGGTCTGGAGAAAGCTACTTTAGAATCGGTGGGAGGGGGTCAAGTACAAGAGTCTCCACAGCTCGGACACAGCACAAACAAACTTGTTCTGAATAACATGGGAACCAGTGAGGACTTTCTCCTTCATTTGCTTTTTTTTTCCTTACACTTTTTTTTTTTTTGAACACATGCTCCATTGATATATCCTTCCAACCTGGATCTGGCATCAGTCTGCAAGTCACAAGAGTGTAATAGCAAAAGTGAATTCTTCAGGTTTTCATGAAGGTTTAGAAACCTCAAAACCAGGGTCTTCCTACAACCCTCTGGGCCTACGCCAGGCGCTGGGTGAAGTTCTCTGGGAACAGGCCTTGGTAGGTGGCGAGGTCTCTGTACTGGAGCCAGTCCGATTCCTTCACGCCCACCAGCCAGCCCGCATCCTGCAAGACAAACACAGGGCTTTCAAGGTCCGAGCGCTGGGAAAGCCGGCACTGCCAGCCATCAAAGTACTTTGTGTAGTTCATGCTGTGCCTCTGCACCAACATGTTAGGTTACATGTAAACTGCTGTGCTGAGGTCCGTGGGAAGGCTGACTGAAGGTTGATATTAATATTATAATTTTTTAAAATATATTTTATTGACTTTTTTTACAGAGAGGAAGGGAGAGGAATAGAGAGTTAGAAACATCGATGAGAGAGAAATATCGATCAGCTGCCTCCTACATACCCCCCACTGGGATGTGCCTGCAACCAAGATACATGTCCTTGACTGGAATCAAACCTGGGACCCTTCAGTCCGCAGGCCGACGCTCTATCCACTGAGCCAAATCAGGGCTTATAATTTTGTATAAACTATAGTTAATTGATGGCAACTGGATTATGACTTGAGTTAAGGAAAAGAAAAGTGTTAGAATACAGCCAGCAAAGTTCAGCCAGTGTGGCTCAGTGGTTGAGCGTCGACCTATGAACCAAGAGGTCACTGTTCATTGACCTATGAACCAGGAGATTCCCAGTCAGGGCACATGCCTAGGTTGTGGGCTCGATCCCCAGTAGGGGGCGTGCAGAGGCAGCCGATCAATTATCTCTGTCATCATTGATGTTTCTGTCCTTATTTCTCTCTCCTTCCCTCTCTAAAATCAGTTAATTATATACATATCTTTTAAAAAGAATGATAGCCAGCACAAAGAGAGGGACACATGTGAAAGGATGTCACGCACAGGAACATTTCTTGTCCTGTGGGTCACAGTGAAAAAAAGGCTGGAGGACCCCTGGGTTAGAATATAGTGCTGACAAGGCCATCAAAGTTCTTGTATTTCATCCTGAACCACTTGCTAATAACAAACAACGCTGCCATTCCCTCAGCTCACATCATGCAACCTAAATAAACCACACATACCGGGCTTATCAAATAATAACGGCTAGGTATGTTGCCTGATGTTACTGTTCTGTTATTGTTGCTGTTATAATATCTATATTTTCAAGTTTATATAAAGTACAAAGCAGTTTGTTGTCATGATATTCTTGTGGGGAACATTCGTATATTCTTTATAAATTATTGCTTATAAATATATATTTTATGGAACTGCAGACATTGAGTCAAAGAAAGGTTAAGTAACCCATCTGTGTGGTCATACGGCATGGGAGATGATGTGTAAAACTGAGGAACAGAGGCGGCCGTCTGCCCTTGGCCTATGAAGATAAGCAGATCCTACTTGGGAAAAGCTGAGCTGAAGGAACAACATGAACATACAGACCATATGGAGCAAAGCTAGTGGGGAATGACTATCTTTATTATGTTAACCAACCCATGAAAGAGATCCCTCTTAAGATGAAGGATGGCCAGATTTAATCTGAACCAATTCCCAATGAAGTTCAAGTACATCAGATAAATGGGAACTCAAAAATTAAAGAAGCTGAATACATTCCCTTGTGATATAATCTGAGACTATAAATTGATGCTTCTATAGAGAAGAAATATAAGCATTTAGACAGGCCAATTTCTGAAAGCAGAAATAATAACAGTGGGAAAATCTGACAATAAAATAACTGATAATATCCTCGGTGATGACAAAAATTATTCTCTTTAAAATTATGATGTTATATGTGTGAAGGACAAAGTTATACATAAAGTAAAAGATGATCCCTAAATATTTTCTTCCCATTTTATTTTTAATCAAATTTATTGGGTAAGCATACAAAAGGCCACGTTTCCCCCACAAGTGTGTATATTTTATATTTGACTTTATTTACAGTGAGTGAAAAATCTAATGGTGCCAAGCAGAGTCAAGCACTTTAAAACTGTTTCAACAAAGAACAAAAGTAAAGGACTGGCACAAACCTATAATCAAGATATCTGTAATACTCTCAATAAAAATAAATGCAAAGAAAGATATACTGCAAGACATATACCTGATATAAAATTTATATAGCAAATTGAACTATTATTAGCCAGTATCAATCTTTAGCTGAGGTAATTAGAAAAGTTAAATTTTAACTATTTAAAATATGTGGTAGACTAAGAATTTCCAATTTTGCTAATGGTAAAATAGCTTGTTGCAGACAAATGCTTCTGCACAGAGCAATTATAAGCACTAGAAAAACTATATATTTTTATAGACCTAATATACGTATGTATAGATATATGCACCTATTTTAATATAGAAATGAATATTTGTTACAAAATATATAGTATAAAATATAAGTTTATATAATGGGCTTGTTATAAATAAAGGGGTTGTACTTATATAACAACCATTTGAAGGCACTGAGAGTCACCAAAATCAGGCAGAAATCAGAGACGGTTTAATTCTTGAAAGAAGGGTGCTGCGCGGGTGGGACTGTGCTGGTCCAGCCTTCCCCCTGAGGGTTCTCCTCAGTCTGTGTGATGCAGGGCATTCAGAGGATAGAGTTAAGGGCTGCCTGAGCAGCTGTACTTTTATGGGGGATATCTTGAAAAAAAAAAGAGAGAGAGAGAGAGAGAGAGAGAGATACATGGAAAGTCCCCGAAGACATGGAGAAGCTTCTATGAAATCCTAAGCTGCCCCCAAACTATGAATGCATAAGGGGGATGCCCGAGGAGCCTGGGGAAAGCAGGAAGGCTGGGAAAGATGAGCAGAGATTCAAAGGAGTGGCCGGGAGACAGAGTTTAGAGTTCAAACGCCATCAAGTTAGGGGGCTTGATAAACCCGTCAGGATTTCCATTGAAATTCCAGATGGGGCATGTCTTAGAGGTAGAGACAATGGCCCAGGACTAAGAATTTATCCTAAGAGTATGGCAAACCAGAAACAGACCCACTCCAACAAAGTGAGTAAAAGAAACTTCCATGGATTCAAGGTAATTATCCAGTGGCTTGAATGCCTGATGGAAGAAGTAATCTTCAGAGATAGAAAACAGAATCCAGACTCAATAATGAATTACCCACTGTAAGAAAATTTCCACAGGTGAGAAAAACAGGAAAAATGTGACTTACTGACAAAAGTCAATCAACAGAAATGTGTCCTGGGATGGCCTAGCTTTTGGAATAGGCAGTGAGGAATTTAAAGCGGTCATTACAAATATACTCATGTACTTAAATTAAAAGATGGTAATAATGAGAATAGATCGGAAATCTCAGTAAAGAAATGAAAACTATATAACAGAACAACATAGACATTATGGAACTATGTAGATAATATCCTAAATAAAAAAAGTCACAGGGCAACCTTAAAAACAAATTCAAAGTAGTGCAAAAAAAGGGTCACTGTACTATCAAACAGAGTAAAAGAGAGAAGAAAATACTGAACAAAAAAGAACAGTCTTAGACATAAAAAGTCCAACATATGTATAATTGTTTCTTAGAGAAAAAGAGAAGAAAGGAAAAAAGTAAGAAATGACAGCTGAAAATCCTTCAAATGTAGTGGAAAATAATCAGGATACAAGTCCAAGGAGCTCAGTGAACCTCAAGCAAGAAAAGTATGAAAAAACAAGACCTAAGCACTTTATAATTGAAATGATGAAAACATGATGCGGAGACGTTCTTAAAATCAGTCAGGGAAATGTAATAACTGCTTTAAATTTCTCACTGCTAATTCCAAAAGCCAGACCATCCCAGGACACCATTTCTACTGATTAACTTTAATCAGTTAGTCACACTGTCCTGTTTTTCACAGTATTAGCTGTGTAGAGACTGGAAAACAATGGAACACTATTTTAAAAGAGTGTCTGCATTTCCTGAAGACTGAATTTCAGAGAGACATCCCTAAGAAATGGATACATAATAAGAAATGGTCATCTATTTGTATGAAAAATAAACAATGTACTAGGTAATAGCATCCCAAACCTAAATTTTGTGATGTGCTGTGGTCATAAGCCCTTAAATCCTCTTCAGCATCTCAGAAAATGCAAACAACTTCAGGAAGTCACTATGCCCAACTGAACCTTAGGAAAAAACCAATAGAGCTCCCAGCACTTTCCAATCTCATCCTTTACCTGGTCAGCTTCCGAATCAGAGGGCACCACCAACACCACGTCACCCCTTTGTAAGGTAAGTTCATCAGAATTTGCTGCCTCGAAATCGTGCAGTGCTTCCACCTGCAAGGTTGGAAAAGAACTGACTAATGTTAGGAAGAAAAACAGAGGTCAGGTCAAGCTCTCCCCGTCAGATGGTCCCCAGGCATCTCAATAGCATCCCCAAGCTGATAACAATGAAGACCTGTATCTCCCCAACGGAGGAGAAGGCTCCTGAAGGCAGAAAGGAAATCCTCTCCTTTACTCAATACATCCTACTCTTACAGACTGAAACCAAGGCCCCTGGACGCATATTTAGTAATGCAATACCTTCTGCTAGAGCCGAAATGCCGTGCGTTCATTAAAGTTTAATGCTTCATAATTTTGCTAGAGATTTGCATGTAATTATCACAGATGCTTTATTATTGTTTTTGAACTAAAAATGCCTAGCTGAATGTTCCTCTAACCACAGCTTCTGTCGCATTGGGAAAACCGTCGCTTGCATGTTATAATGAAATCAGGGTTTAATCAAATCCTGTGTCCAATCTCCTGTAAATAAACTTCCTTCTTTCCCTGTCCTACCTTTTAAACATGATAACCTATTTCTAGTTCCCCTTTTTAAAAGATTTCTTTAAACTTTAAGTATAGGAAATTTTTAAAAAGTAGAATAGTAAAATGAGCCCCATTATACAGCTTCAATAACGATCTATAATCACACCCAGGTTTATTTTTCCCATGTCCCTCCCCTCAACCCTACCCATGATATTAAATAATCAGCTCTTAAAATGTGTTGTTTGCATGTAGAATCACAAAATGTCAGAGCTGGAAATTTCTATCTTATCCCCAAATTCATTTTTCTGATGAGAATACTGACACCCAGAGAGAGGGGTTACGTGGTCAGTGAGGAGGTTGGAGGGCCCAGCTGGACCCGGCCTCCAGTGGCAGCCTGCACCCTGATTCCTTGTCCTCTGACACAAAACACAGTGGGACACATGCCTTCACCTGCCACAGGCTTAGTGTTGTCTTCACATAATTCATTCATAAATGCATTATACCCACACCGTCCCCCTGGGAGGTAGCAATGTAGCAGCAGTTACTGCCCAAGAAGCAGAGAGAAGAAAAAGATCATGACTCGTCAATCCCACCCCCCACAAACAAAAATTTAATACTTCTAAAAAGACAAAGAGCTGAAATTTGACATGTAAAATCAAACGATGGGACTTATAATTCCCAACAATGTTCTGTTACGGAGGATGAGCTGCCTTCCACACGTGGTTGAAGCCTGTGTTTCTGGGTGTCTGCTGGGTTGGTTCTTGTAAGGGCCCTTCAGTGTACGAAGGCTCTATGTGACCACTCGGCCTCTCTGAGCAAGACCTTCTGCCCACAAATTCTGGCCTCTTTTCTCTCTTCCTTTTCATAGAAGCCCATTAACATATTTATCCACTTTCTTTTAAAATATTCATTGGCTCCCTGCTCTGTGTCCTGCACTGTAACCAGGGGCCAGAGCTGAATGGGCGATTCCTGTTTCCTGCCCTCGGAGGCGTGTATAATCCAGCTGGGAGCAGGTGAGCCCAGCACGGGAGGCGCCCACGGAGCTCTGTGGGGAGCAGAGGCACTCAGGTGGAAGGCATGCACCCATCACTACCAAGGGGCACAGCGTTTAACTCTCCTTTGCTAAAAATGGAAAGACATCACTGTAGGTCCCTTGTCCGCAGCACAGAAATCCTGCCCGTTGCCATGTGACGTTGGGAGGGAGGGGGAAGCAGTGCAGAAAAAGAGTCTGCAGCAAAAAAAAAAAGTGAACGTAAAAATCGGGAAACCAAAGGTGTGAGCAGAAGGGCCTCAAAGCAGAGGAAGGACAACTGGCCGCCCGATTTAAAAAACGAAGAATGGAAAGACCTTGTAGAGGAAGCCGGGAGGCACGTCCTGAGAGGCCTGGCTCGCAGGCGGAGCGGAGGGCTCGGGCTGGGAGTCCGCGGGGGCCTTCTGCTCAGCAGCCGGCTCCGGCACCTCACTGGGGGCGCCTGGAAGGGCCGAGTCTTGAGTCGCCTCCTGGGCCTCTGCACCTGTCATGACTTCGTGTGCTCCCTCCTCTTCGTTGTTGGAAGCGGGCTCGATGATGACCGCAGGGATGACCTTCTCCTGGGGAAAGAAAAATGTGGTCGTCCTTCGGAAACACTCTCCCTGCCACACCCTCCGTGGCTCCCAGGTTCCCCACCTTGCTCATTCCCCAAACCCGATGTAGGCTTTCTGGCCCTTGGGCCTTCCGCCTTGCAGGACCTTCCTCCTTTCTCTCTCTCCTGAGAGAGATACCCTTCGTGGGATGAATTTCTGGATCCTTGAACAATCACCCAGTTTGGAAAGAGGGAGGTTTCTGTGCAAACTGGGAGGAGGGACAGGAGACTGCAGGGAGGGGGCGGAGTCATGGCGGGTGGAGGAGACAGTCCTGAAAGGAAATGCTGTGGGACTCCAAGGAGGGGGGTCATTCTTGCCCTGGCCCATTTGCTCTTCTCCCAGAGTCTTATGGGACTCCCGGAGAGCCCGAAACCACATTGTCGGTAAAGATGTGGCCCCTGCCTGCTGGTTATGGTCAGAGCCACACCCCAGGCACAGTTTCCGGAATCATGACTCCCGCCAACCACTCCAACCCTCTATTGTCAGGGACAGTAGACCAAAGGATCAAGACCTCCCCCTTATGTTTTGACAAAGGTGAGAGCAAGGAGGGAGAGGGAGATTTAACTCACATAAGGAAAGTCTAGAGATACTGCTGGCTTTTCAGATTAATAATAATAATATAAGTTCTATATTCCCTCAGGCGTCAGTGGGCAAAAGCACTTCCATTCTTCAGTTTGGAGAAAATAATACAATCTTTCAACAAGTATAACAGTATGTACAAAAGTATTCCTGGCACAGTGACAAGGAAATATGACAATGAATAGAATTGAGTTCTTTCTCCAAACACCAATGCTACTTGCTGGGTTTCTAGTGGGAGGAAAGGGGCAATTCAGTTTCAAACTTCGAGTAACCCTGGAGAGACTTCTGGAAACTGACTCTGAGTAAAATAATCAGAGAAATGGAAAGCATGCATGAAGCCCACTCTCACGGTTAACCTTCTAGAAGGTAGAGAGGATCCCAGCACGGGGGTTGGGAGAGCTGTGCTTGCCCGGGCCCCTGGGCCTGAGGCTCCACAGTCTGGGCTTAGGGGGCTGTGCTGCCTGTGAGCACTGGTCTGAGAAGGCCAGACCTGGGCGAAGCCCAGCTTCACCTGTGTCTGAAGGCTCACAGGACCCATTTTCCTTTTGAAAGTGCAACATCAGGACGGGCTTTTGGTAAAAGAAGCCTACTTTGGGGTGAATTTGGAGGTGCTCTAATAATAACCACCACCACAAAGTAATAATCACAGCAACATGATTTATGTATGAATACTGGGTTCTCAGCATGTGGTTGGCAGCAGGCTAAGCACTTTCTGGCCATTTTCTCCCGCAATCCACACGGTCACCCCATTCATTCTATTCTATTCCCTTTCTCCTGCCTCCATTCTCATCCTGTGCTTCATTCTTTTCTCCATCACTTTACTGCATAGTCTCCTTTACCTCGATCTGTGCTTAATTTCAGCCCAGTCACCGTAGCCCTGGGGGCTTGCGTGGAACCCCAGAATACTGACACTGAGAAAATGGTGTGACCACCCTTTCTGAGAATTTCCATCCCCTCCCTCTCCCCTCCCCCGGCCCCCCCGCAGAGCAGCATGTCACAAAATGGCTACAAACCTATTCCACATCCAAGAGTTATGGCCATGAACCAATAGACAGAACATGCCAACGGGCACATCCCCCAGCACCCCCACGTCACCAGGCACTTACCTGAGGCGCTGCCGCTTCCGTTTCCTCTGGTTGACCTCTGTCACTGTCTGCAGCCTCTGCAGCTTCTGTATCAGCCTTGGGCTCCTCTAAACTTGCTCCTTCCCCTGCAGGGAGCGCTGCCTCCAGCTCCTTCTCTGCTTCCTCTGCTGGGGCGCCCTCTGCTGCCCGCACGGAGGTTGCATCAGTCAGGTCAGCATCAGTGCCTGGTAGGATCTGCAAACCAGAACCAACAGGAGGGGTCTGTCTCCAGGGCCTCACAGTAAGAGTCAGACTCAGCTCTGTCTCTTCTCTCCCCTCGGCTGAGGCTCATCAGGTTTTGAAGCTTTCTTTATAGTCTACGGAGGCCTAGGAGTTAGGGACAGCAAGCAGACTGCCATCTGTTTGGCAAAACTCCAACCCCTCTTTTTTTAAAAAATATACTTTTATTGATTTCAGAGAGGAAGGGAGAGGGGGAGAAAGACAGAAACATCAATGATGAGAATCATTGCTTGGCTGCTTCCTGCACGCCCCCTACTGGGGATCAAGCCCACAACTCGGGCATGTGCCCTTGACTGGAATCGAACCTGGGACCCTTCAGTCCACAGGCTGACGCTCTATCCACTGAGCTCAACCAGTGAGGGCAATACTCATGTTCTTAGGAATTTACTTCCTTCTTTTATAAGAGTTTTTTATTATGAGAATTTGGCTCTCCAAAGTGTACAATGATTCAAAGTAGAGGCACTAGCCACTGTGTAGCATTTATTTCTCTTTTTCTACCCTGTCTTTAAAGTACATAGGTTTCCGAAAAGTAATCCTTTCACCTGAATTGAGGCATACTTATTTGAAGTGAATTATAAATGTTGATCATTTTTGAAGTGGGAAAACAGATTTATATTTGGTGGATGACCGAACATTTCCATAATAGATATTTAAGTAAGAGAATTGCACCTCTTGTTTTAAAGAAACATTGGCCTTTTAATGGAGGTGATTGTTGCCGTCGAACATAAATTAGGAGGGTATCTTGATTCCAAGAACACTGAACAATTCCTTGTAGTTTTATTGTTGGAGAAATGAACAGGCTTCTTTAGGACCCTGAGGACCTCCCCAAGTTTCTTCACATCAGAATCTATACCTAAAGACTGCACGCACAATGGCATTTAAGTGGGCTTAAATGCAAAGAGCAAGCTGTGTTGCCACAATTCTAAGTTATTTGTGATTTCTATCTGTCTGGAAAATCACACCATGGAGTGTCCATCCCACCGGTTTCCATAGCTTCACACCAGACAGATCTATGTACATGCAGACAGAGTGAACTGACAGTGAGCACCACCACGTCCACACATGCACACATACATGTTGCCACAGATCTGAAAGCAGCCACCATCGTATCTGATAGGCTATTCCTCCAAGTGGTTATACACAAATCCTTCCATACATATATGTTCCGAGCTCATACAACTAGTAATTGGATTTTATTCTCAACTGAACTGATATAGCTTCAGAGAGAATATATTTCTGTGAAGCATTGGTGGTGTTCTCAAAGGCAATTTCCTAACCCGCTCCATACAAATAGAATGTTAACCACGAATTCCTTATTTATCCCTAGGGCTCTGTACACCTATCAACTTGACCCTATCAAATTTCACTATCATAAGATATATATGTTCTCTTTCCTTTGGTAAATGGTTTAAACAGGTTTCCTTGGCTGGATTTGATGTAGACTTGATAGCATGGCTGCTGGGATGCCAGCCACCAGCAGGTGGAGGCCAAGTGCACGGTCTCTGTGCTCTGACTCCTTGACCTCATAGGAGCCAATTGCAGGTCAGCAATTGACCTGATCTCTCTCTCTCTCTCTCTCTCTCTCTCTCTCTCTCTCTGTCTCTCTCTCTCACACACACACACACACACACACACACACACTCACACACAAAGAATTGTGAAATCCTTTATAGTCCTGGGCTCCTCAGGTGGAAGATGAGCAATTTTGGTACCATCTACAAAATAAAAACATGGCTAAAAAGAAGTTAAAATTTGAA